AACCTATGAGATGCAGCAAGAGCAGTTCTAAGAGGGAAGTTGATAGCCTACCTCAACGAACAAGAAAAATCTCAATCTAACCTTACACCTAAAGGAACTAGAGAAAGAAGAACAAACAAAACCCAAAGTTAGTAGAAGGAAAGAAATCATAAAGATCAGAGCAGAAATAAATGAAGTAGAAACAAAGAAAACAATAGCAAAGATCAATAAAACTAAAAGCTGGTTCTTTGAGAAGATAAGCAAAATTGATAAACCTTTAGCCAGACTCATCAAGGAAAAGATGGAGAGGACTCAAATCAATAAAATTAGAAATGAAAAAGGAGAAGTTACAACAGACACCGCAGAAATACAAAGCATCCTAAGAGACTACTACAAGCAACTCTATGCCAATAAATTGGACAACCTGGAAGAAATGGACAAATTCTTAGAAACGTATAACCTTCCAAGACTGAACCAGGAAGAAATAGAAAATATGAACAGACCAATCACAAGTAAAGTAATTGAAACTGTGATTAAAAATCTTCCAACAAACAAAAGTCCAGGACCAGATGGCTTCACAGGTGAATTCTGTCAAACATTTAGAGAAGAGCTAACACCCATCCTTCTCAGACTTTTCCAAAAAATTGCAGAAGAAGGAACACTCCCAAACTCATTCTATGAGGCCACCATCGCCCTGATACCAAAACCAGACAAAGATACTACAAAAAAGAAAATTACAGACCAATATCACTGATGAATGTAGATGCAAAAATCCTCAGCAAAATACTAACAAACAGAATCCAACAACACATTCAAAGGATCATACACCATGATCAAGTGGGATTTATCCCAGGGGTGCAAGGATTCTTCAATATAGGTAAACCAATCAATGTGATAAACCATATTAACAAACTGAAGAATAAAAACCATATGATCATCTCAATAGATGCAGAAAAAGCTTTTGACAAAATTCAACACCCATTTATGATAAAAAACTCTCCAGAAAGTGGGCATAGAGGGAACCTACCTCAACATAATAACAGCCATATATGACAAACCCACAGCAAACATCATTCTCAATGGTGAAAAACTGAAATCATTTCCTCTAAGATCAGGAACAAGACAAGGATGTCCACACTCATCACTCTTATTCAACATAGTTTTGGAAGTCCTAGCCATGGCAATCAGAAGAAAAAGAAATAAAAGGAATACAAATTGGAAAAGAAGAAGTAAAACTGTCACTGTTTGCAGATGACATGATACTATACATAGAGAATCCTTAAGGTGCCACCAGAAAACTACTAGAGCTAATCAATGAATTTGGTAAAGTTGTAGGATACAAAATTAATGCACAGAAATCTCTTACATTCCTATACACTAACAACGAAAGACCAGAAAGATAAATTAAGGAAACAATCCCATTCACCACTGCAACAAAAAGAATAAAATACCTAGGGTTAAACCTACCTAAGGAGGTAAAATATGTGTACTCAGAAAACTATAAGACACTGATGAAAGAAATCAAAGATGACAAAAACAGATGGAAAAATATACCATGTTCTTGGATTGGAAGAATCAATATTGTGAAAATGACTATACTACCCAAAGCAATCTACAGATTCAATGCAATCCCTATCAAATTACCAGTGGCATGTTTTACAGAACTAGAACAAAAAAGTCTTAAAATTTGTATGGAGACACAAAAGACCCCAAATAGCCAAAGCAGTCTTGAGGGAAAAAAATGGAGCTGGAGGAGTCAGACTCCCTGACTTCAGACCATACTACAAAGCTACAGTCATCAAGACAATATGGTACTGGCACAAAAACATAAATATAGATAAATGGAACAGGATAGAAAGCCCAGAGATAAACCCCCACACCTATGGTCAACTAATCTATGACAAAGGAGGCAAGGATATATAATGGAGAAAAAGTCTCTTCAATAAGTGGTGCTGGGAAAACTGGACAGCTACATGTAAAAGAATGAAATTAGAACACTCCGTAACACCATACACAAAAATAAACTCAAAATGGATTAACGACCTAAGACCAGACTCTTAGAGGAAAACATAGGAAGAACACTCTTTGACATAAATCACAGAAAGATCTTTTTTGATCCACCTCCTAGAGAAATGGAAATAAAAACAAAAATAAACAAATGGGACCTAATGAAACTTAAAAGCTTTTGCAAAGCAAAGGAAACTACAAACAAGACGAAAAGGCAACCCTCAGAATGGGAGAAAGCATTTGCAAGCGAATCAACAGACGGAGGATTAATCTCCAAAATATATAAACAGCTCATGCAGCTCAATATTAAAGAAACAAACAACCCAATCCAACAATGGGCAGAAGACCTAAATAGACATTTCTCCAAAGAAGACATACAGATGGCCAAGAAGCCCATGAAAAGCTGCTCAACATCACTAATTATTAGAGAAATGCAAATCAAAACTACAATGAGGTATCACCCCACACCAGTTAGAATGGGCATCATCAGAAAACCTTCAAACAACAAATGCTGGAGAGGGTGTAGAGAAAAGGGAAGCCTCTTGCACTGTTGGTGGGAATGTAAATTGATACAGCCACTATGGAGAACAGTATGGAGGTTCCTTAACAATCTAAAAATAGAATTACCGTATGACCCAGCAATCCCACTACTGGGCATATACCCAGAGAAAACCATAATTCAAAAAGACACATGCACCCCAATGTTCATTGCAGCACTACTTACAATAGCCAGGTCATGGAAGCAACCTAAATGCCCATCGACAGACGAATGGATAAAGAAGATGTGGTGCATATATACAATGGAATATTACTCAGCCATAAAATGGAACGAAATTGGGTCATTTGTAGAGATGTGGATGGATCTAGAGACTGTCATACAGAGTGAAGTAAGTCAGAAAGACAAAAACAAATATCGTATATTAACGCATGTATGTGGAACCTAGAAAAATGGTACAGATGAACCGGTTTGCAGGGCAGAAATAGAGACACAGATGTAGAGAACAAACGTATGGACACCAAGGGGGGAAAGCGGCGGGGAGGTAGGCGGGATGAATTGGGAGATTGGGATTGACATACATACACTAATATGTATAAAATAGATAACTAATAAAAACTGCTATATAAAAAAATAAATAAAATTTAAAAATTAAAAAAAAAGTACATGCACATGGTAAATCCAAACAAAAGGGATATACAGTGAAAGTAAGTATAGTCTCACCCTTCATCCTGCCTTCCCAGCTCCTTTTCCCAGAGAAAGCCAATTTCTTAGCAGTCTTTCCAGAGATTTTCTATGCATATACTGGCATATATGTGATAGAATGTTTAAGGGGACTCTTGCTGTCAAAATTTTAGCTGAGGGAAGAATTCTTTATATGTTTTATTCTAAACAGACCATCATGCAAAAATTTCAGCATGGATACATAGGTCTTGACCCCTTATCTACGTTAAAGATATGAAAATGTTAAGAGAGAAGATTTGTGAAGATTACTTTAGAGTTAGCTGTGTTGTGGAGTCATTCAGAGAGAAAGGGTGGGGAATACTTAAGGTCAAGAGAGAGTGATTTCAGTGAGAACTGTCAGAAAATCTAATATGTTTGCCTATAATCAAGGAGACACAGTACATTAACTGACTCACCTAGAAAATCTAAAAACGAAGAGATGGGTAGCTCCTGAAGAGGCAAGAACGAAGAAAGCTTTGTTGCTACTTTGGTATCAGCCTGCCATTCTTGAGTTTGGCCTAAATTTGCTCAAATATTTCCTGCAAATCAGATGAGGGCCACAGAGCCTATATTTATTTATTTATTTATTTTAAATTAATTTATTTATTTTTGGCTGTCTTGGGTCTTCGTTGCTGCATGTGGGCTTTCTCTAGTTGTCTGCAGCATGTGGGATCTTCCTGGACCAGGGCTAGAACCCGTGTCCCCTGCATTGGCAGGCAGATTCTTAATCACTGCGCCACCAGGGAAGCCCCTATAATTATTTAAAATTCTGACCTAGAGGAACAATGGAACTCTAAAAAAAAAAAGTCCCCGTGGAATGGCCCGTGGAAGATCCTATTTGCAGCAGGAGGAAAATACACTGTCTGAGTCATAATACGGTCATTCGTTCCTAGTTGTGGTCTCTGAAGGACAAAAGCGCCTGCTGTAGAGAAGCACAGTTAAACTCTTGCCAGCAACAGGGAGTGAGAAGTCGTCTGATTGAGTTATCAGATTTAAATCTCTTGTGATCAAGTATGTGCACACGGTCCTGTTCAAAATCAAATGTTCTCCAACAGTCGTATTGAGGTCTCTTTATGGTAATGTAGAATACTGGAAACTACAGCCCCCAAGGTCTAACCAGGGTTCTCTCTTCCATGCTTTAAGTACAAAATTCTGAGGCTTCAGTTGAGAATCTAAATTTACTATCGAAAATGTGCAGGCCTTCTCCGTGTGGAGTCAGAGGAGGCCCTCCCGCACTGGCGAGAACACAGGTCTCAGGCTCTTTAAGTTCCATCTTGCCACCTGCAAATCTGAAGCCTGAAGTGATCGGATCTCCTTTTAATCAATAACAAAGAATGCCTGCACTACAGATACTTTTCCTGCATATGGATTTTGAGTACCTTTTATTATGGTGGTGGTGTTTTTTTCAAGAGGGAGCGTTATAAAAATGACTCTGATTAAGGGTAGAAATTTTCAAAATAGGCAACACTAAAAAGAAGTACATTGAATTTTGACATGCACAATCTACCACCCAAAGTTAAGTACTTTTAATACTTTTTAATAACTTTGTTTTGTATGTCCTTCCAGTCTTTTTTTCACCTGTGTACTTTTTTTTTACATAATTGAACTGATAATGTATATACTCATTTGCATTGTTTATAATGGCTAAGTAATATTCCATCATATAAAAATACTATAAGTTAATTACAATGTTTGGTCATTCATGTTGTTTTTAGTTTTTCTCTATCTCGTAAGGTTGAGATGACCATCTGTGTGCTCAATTGTTTTTATGTATTTTGGATTATGCCCTTAATAGAGGCCCCTTGAAGCAGAAATATTGAGTAAAAGCTCTTGCTACGTCTTGATATTCAGGTAGGTATTCTCTTTTCCTTCCTTCTCCCTTCCTCCTGTGAATCATTCAGCAATATCCACAATAGTTGCTTCCCTTCTATGCTTTCTTTTATACTCTTTGGGATCTTGGATTTTTCTCAATGTCCTCTTTCAGTTGCAAAGTTCTTTGCACAGAACTGCCAGCTAACCCAATGGGCCCCCATGTATTTCTACGTTAGCTCCAACGAGAGAAAGAGAGAAAAGCTCAAGTTTCACATTTTATCTATCCTGCTTCCTAAACTCTTATCTCTTTTCAACCATCTTTATTTTAACAACAGAGATACAAATCAAAATATTTTACCTATTTCATCTTATTTAACTCTCATAACAATGACATTAAGTGGGTCTTTTACCGTCTTTGTTTTATAGATGCAGAAATTGAGGCACAGAGTTTAAATAACTTGCCCAAGGTCATACATTAAACAGTAGATTCAAGATTTCAATCCAGGCTTATCTAACGTCAAAGTTCTTTCTATTACACGACTGTTCCTTCCTCATTAAAAGAAAACTCGTTGAGCAAATGCCTAGTGGATTAAGTTCTCAAATAATTATGTAGGGGAGGAAAACTTTCCTCTTAGGTTCTGTGCCTGGGGCCTGCGAATTAGACTGACAACAGACTCACTGGAGAAAAGGCATACAAATTTTGTTTGATGTTAATATTTTAATTTTTTCACATGCATGGAGGCCTTCATATAAAGTGAATATCCAAAGAAACAATGAAATGCCGTGGGCTTATATACCATCTTAACAAAGGGTGATAAGTTCTGGAGAAGTGACAAGACAAAGTAAAAGGGGTTTGGACTTCTGTGGGTGGTAAACTGTGGGAAAGTAAATATATGGGGGAAAGTAATGGAAGATAGGGTTGTTTAGTAAGGTTTCATTTATGCAGACTCATCTTGGTATCATCTGTGTCTCCTGTGATGAATGTTGTTTTTCCCTTCCTGGTACAGGAGAGGGTGACATTCTCAAAAATGGAAATTTGTGCTCTGCTTTTAGGCAGGAAAGGGGAGAGCAGAGAGTTTTTCTTGCATCTGTTGCTTCTCAATTGCCATCAGCTCAAAACAATCCTTATGCCAAAGTGGCACATTTGCGGGTAGCTTATTCTGATCCTTTCAATTTACCACTGCCACTTGATGTGATTAGATAAATAACTAAAATCCAGCTTTCCTTTGTTCTTTGTGTTCCTCTGTTACATTTTCCTTATGTTCAGACCACTTATTCTTTCAGTTTTTCCTTTAGCCTTGGCTCCATAACTGTGAAATTGAAATTTTAATTAGGTAGCACAAAATGATTTTCTAAGAAGATTCCTGTTAATTAAAAAAAGCATTGCTGATCTAGGTGCTGTTTTTAAATTAAGAAAGTTGAATGAAATCGCATTTGTATTCTGCTTTAACAATAAACATAGTCTGATACAAAAGAACTTATGAATATTTCCAAAATCAATAATATAGTCTTACCCTTTTTCTTGTCCTCAGTAGTATTGAATGCACGTGCTGATTACTCTCTTGGTTTTGCTAGTGGGAATATTTCAGATGTAAAATTAAGCATATACTAACTGTACATCCGTTAGTTGTAATTTTAAAGCTCAGTTAAGCCTAATTTAAAAGACCCAGGAAATGTTTACTATTCATAAGATTATTTTTTTAAATTAAGAAATTCCTACAGTGTTCATAGATGGATGAATGGATAAACAAAATGTGATATGCACATATAAAGGAAAGGAAAAGGAAGTCTTAAAAAGCTACAGAAGTCTGACACATGCTACCATATGGATAAACTTTGAAGATATTATGCTAAGTGAAATAAGCAAGTTACAAAAGGACACGTATGGTTCCACTGATAGGAGGTACCTAGACAGAAAGTAGAATATGGTGGTTGCCAGGGGCTGGGGGTAGGAGGCATGGGGATGACAAAGTCCTGGAGATGGATGGTAGTGATGGTTGCACAGCAATGTGAATGTACTTAATGCCCGTGAACTGTACACTTAAAATGATACATTTTGTGTTCTGTGTATTTTACTACAATTTTAAAAATTACCAAGCACCTACTAAGTGCCAGTCACTGATGAACAAGACAGTAAGGTGCCTGGGCTCTGGAAGCTCCCATCCTAGTGGAGGAAACAATGACTAAGCAAAACATAGGCGAGATAATTATGAAGGAAAAAGAGAAGGATTTGTGATTCCTGGGAGCGAGGGATACTCACTCTAGTCAGTGATATTTGAGATCAGACCTAAGGATGAGAACGACCCTTTAAAGGCATTCCAGGTAAAGGGTGCAGCAAGTATTAAAGTCCCGAAGAGGGGAAGGACTTGATGTGTTTAAGGAAGCAAGCGAGGCCAGGGTGCTGGAAGAAGCAGACAGAAACTCTTCAGGTACCATCTGGAATCTTCTGAGTTTGTTCAAGGAAGGATGATGATAGGTTAGATCAAGGATCAGCAAACTTTTTCTGTAAAGGACCAGATAATAAATAATTCAGGCTTTGCGGCCCAGAGGAAAACAAACAAATAATTCCTACAATGACATTGGGAAGAGAAAAGTCTGACATGCTGTCTGTAATTTTAAGAAAGGAGTGGCCAATAGTGACCATTTCTTTGCCTCACTTAGAATTGATCAGAGCATTCTCTGAACTCTCATCCATCCACAGGTGGGACTAATCACAGGAAGAGGGGCTGGAAGTGAGAAATAATAGAAAAATACAATGTTTGTTAAAAGGTTGACTTGGGTATTTGGAAGAGATCATGTTGTTCAGCTAAGCTATCAGCAAAATTGGAAGTAGGCAGTTTTGCTTTTGATACCTGTTAGCACCATTCCATTTTCTAGTAAATGTAAACTCCTTAGGTGTTTGGCACATAAAATACCCAATACATGTTGTCGAATAAGATGTTTATCTGTGTTTTTGTTTATTCCCTGAAAAATCAATGCCCTAATGCTGCCTCCTGGTGGCAGAGTGTCATGTGCAATACGGAGACTAAGGAAGGTGGGAAAAGACTAGAGAGGTAGGCTGCTGTCAGACTCCCTGGAGATGGACTTTGCCTAAAAAAGCATAATCTTATGAGGCTGGCTCTCTCCTCTCCTGAGGAAGCAGCCCTTTTCATGAGTGTGACATCCATGGGTTGTGAGTTATATCACAAGTCATTTTTTTGGCTATTTCACCAATTTTACTGATTGAATGATTTATTCTTTTTACAGGTTACATCAGATTTTAGAGCACGTACTGTGTTTGTGATTGCCATCTCTTAACTGTTGGAATGGAACAAAACATTGGAGATTATTTTAATGAGAAAAGCTTCTCCAGGAAGTCAGTGATGACCAAAAAATTAGGGGCATAATTTTTCTTTCTGGGGCATTATTGTTTGGGGTCTTGTTGGAGGAAAAGACTTTGAGAACGGGGAGAGGGTGTGCTCCAGGACCGGGGTAACTGGGTGGCTTTAATGACCATCGTCTTACAGTGTGGGCCCTGGGAAGAACTTACCGGGGAGTCCCAGTAGCTAATTTTTCACATTGTCACTCTACAGGACGTCTGTACCAGCACATCTTTCCCATTTTGTGGTTAAACATCCCTCTGGAGAATTATCCCTGAGGCACTGAGAACTTTATTGTACTTTCCCCATACACCCCCCTCCCCCCCCAGCCTCTTGGTCTCAATTCAGATGTCAGTCAAGGTGCCCAGCACAGGACAACCTCTTTAGCTGGTTGGAGAGCTATTGCCAACTCCTGAAAACACAGAAGTAACTCACCTTTGTTCTGGTCCTACAGCTTTAAACCCTTAAGTGAGGGCTTGTGAATCATCTGACCTGATGAGGATATTTGAGGCCCCATCTGATAAGTGCACTTTGTACCATAAACTCAAGTAAAAGTAAAAATCAAGTAAATCGACAAAATACAAATATTTTCTACCACTAAATCGCTAAGGCAATTCCAAAGAATGTGCTTCTGGAACAAAAGGCAATTCCAAAAGAGGTGCCCTAAAAATGTTTTGAAAGTGGTAGAATAATGGAATAAAGATATTCTTTCCAAATAAAGATATTTTTCTTTGAAGTACACAAAATTGGGATTTGTAAATTTGTTTTTCTTTCTTTAAACATAACTCTGATTTTAGAAGTATACGTATTATCTGGAGCAGAACATGTCATGTTCCTCACGAACTCTTCCCTTTTACCCCTTTAGATACTTGCAGTGACATTTTAGATGTTTAAAGTCAATCAGTGTGATTTTTCAAATGCCTAGGATTATTTATTATATACTTATATGACTATGAAGAATGTAGAATTGAGTGCTTTAATAGTGATACATGCCTTCTATTTGTCCAATTATGCTTGAGAGCTATAAATTTAAGATGTATTTTGCTCAGCAGTGAGAAGCTGACATTTAACATTTGCGAGGCCAGTCAGGCAGTAGGTAAGTGAAGTCAGCCACCGAGTACTTACTTTCCTCTATTTCCACACCCTCCAGCCTCTTTAGGGCAAAGTTGTATTCGTTCTGTCTACTATGATCCAAACGAGGCCTTGAAAAACTGTCAACTTGTTGGCCATCTCAGCTTCTATGTTACTTCTATTATTTGACCCTTAAGAGAAAGTCTCTTATTGAAGGATCCGTGGAGTAAAAATAGGTTCCCTTATTAGACTTTAGGGATTAAATGGTTGAGGAAGCACTTGTGATCAGCCATCATTTAAAATCAGTAAGTCGTCTTATAGCAATGTATCGCGCTGCTCAGCAGAACTCATTTTTAAGCTGTAACACCTTCCACACACTGTCTTGCTCAGCAGTAAGGCAGTTAACACTTTGTGATTTATGAAGTTAGAAAGCCAACATTCTTAAGATAAATGTTGGTGGTGAATTCACACCTCTTTGTGGACTCCCTAGAACCTGCGAACACATTACGTTACAAGGCAAGGGAGAATTAACATTGCAGATGGAGTTAAAAAAGTTGATCAGATGACCATCTAACCAGATGATCTTAAAATAGGGAGACTATCTGTGTGAACCCAGTATAATCGCGAGGGTCCCTGTAAGTGGGAAAGGGAGGCAGAGAAGTCAGGGTCAGAAAAAGAGGTGACAGCAGAAGCGGGGTCGGTGCAATGCGGCTTGAGGACTCAAGCCACCCTCACCGGCTTTGCAGATGGAGGAAGAGGGCCGTGAGCTAAGAATGCAAGCGCTTCTAGAAGCTGGAAAAGACACGGGAGGCAGACTCTCCTTCAGAGCCTCCGGAGGGTAAGCAGAGCAGCCAACACCTTGATGTGAGCCCGGGGGACCTCACTGGACTTCTAACTTACAGATTTGTATTGTTTAAGCCACCAGATCTGTGGTAATTTGTTACAGTGGCAATAGAAAATCAGTATGTTGTTATTGTCATTTTAGTTTGTCTGCTCTAGGCCAAGACTCAGTAGGTAAGCTTTGCTTTGATATACGGCAGCATAAATTCCCTTATAATAAGAAAGGATAGAATTTTGAATTCTGAAAAGCCACCAAAGTCTACAAAAAATTCTTGAGCTGACCTTATATTATTTCTATCTCCCAGTCCTTTCCCCTCTTGCTTTATATTGACAAAGATCAAAAAGGGGTCAGCAGCTGTCTTTCATGATTCTCCCGGAACCATTATTACACTGAAATTTACAGGATGTCTGACGTATGTGCTATCGTCCATGGTTTCAGAAAGTAAAAAGCTTAAATCTTTACTCATTTGTTAGCTCACAAGAGCAAAAGGTAACAACTGAGAAAAAAAATAATAAATGAAGCAAAGAAAGAAATATCAAAGGGAAACTGAGCAAGAGCCGTTGGGTTTACACAGAATGTTCAGAAGAAAACTTGGGGTAATTAAGGAAAGAACGCAGACGACCCTGTTTTATTCCATACTTGAGCTGACGTTTAGTCTTCATCTGCTTAGTTCCTGAATTTCCCCCAAGGTTGTGAAGAGAGAAAAAGAAATCTTTACCAGAACCCAAGCAGCCGTGCTTCACCTGGTATGATTTGATTTTAGGCTATTGTCTCGAAATAATTCCTCCCCTAGAAGAATGTGTTGGGCAAAGTAATGCCTGACCAAGTATAAATAGTGCCCCAAGCTTTATCAAGTACCTTTAGCATATGTACCACCAATAACAGTTTGTTAGAACTTTTATGCTACCACCAGTATTTATTTCAAATTACTTTTTTAAAGTAAGATTTTTCTAAGTTTACTCGTACAGCAATCGCAGGGATCCCAAAAAGGGCCACCTTGTTCCGCAACCCCAAGGACATCAGTGCACTGAATGACATCCACGGAATTCCACGTGAACGCTGCCCCGTGCTGTGCAGCTCAGCAGCTTTGGATTCAAGGTCTCGATTTCTTCAGGATTTCTTTCTTCAAGCCCTCTTTGTTTCAATCTCTCGGACCCTCCTAAGGAAGGATGCATTCTTTGATTACAGTCAGGGGATAGATGAGGCAGGCTCATTACACGGGAACTGTCATTACTCCCACCACTGCAATACTGACACACGCGAAGTTCATGCTGTCGAGGAGAGGTCAGGACCCACTTGCCTGGAATGCCCGCTTCCCTGCTTTACCCTCCGCAGAATCTGCTAGGGCTGGAATGGTTCATTTTTCTTTCCTTGCTATCCCTGCGTGGACTTCCCTAAAGTCAAATTATCCTTCTCTCCTTCCCTATATGAGCCATAATGGCAGAATGACTGCCAGAGAATGTGAATTTCCAGGTAAAGGAATGAGTATTTTCAGAATAGTATTCTTATTTTACCTTTATCATATTTCTCTTGTTAATCGCATTCAATATTTTGAAATGAAAAACGAGGACAGAGGTGCACATACTTTATCCCATATTGGTTTCCAAATTGCAGGTTATTGGGCATGTGTGTAACTCCCTCGTTAAGTAATCCATGACAGTCCACACAGGTATGACAAACTAGAGACGCCTCTGTGGACCTCTATGAGTTTTTATTTCATGAGAACCATTTTTTGTTTTCCTCAGCTAGTGTAGAAAAGTAATAATATACAAATGGTGAAGAGTAATGAGACAGGATTCATTAGGTGCATAATTTGTTTCAACCATTGGTTACATCACTGATTATACCACTGCCTCTGCAGATTGTCCCTTTAAAATTCTACAAATAGTGTCTAGAAAATATTTTCCAACGATTTTTTCAGATCCATATTTGAGCAACTTCCCTTAAAGTTTACTTCTTTACAAACTTCCTAATTTAAATTGTTAAATAAAATTTCTCAAATTTTCTTCCAAGTGTGATTACACCATTTTCTAGTACATAAACAAATATCATGGGCCAGCATGTCTCATTGGCATCCACATTCAGTGCCCCAAATTAGAACGCTGGATTTGAGTCCCTACGTCAACATTTACTTGTTCTGTGATTTGAGAGAAACAAGTCAAAATGGTCATGTTTTCTCATTTGTGAAATAGGATCAACAATACCAACCCACCTAAGGGTAAGGAGGCTTAGGTAAGACGTACATAAAGCATCAGTATATTGTAGGCACCCAATAAGTGACAGCTACCCACATGGTGAGTCCTTGCACTGCTATTTTGTTTTTTGACCTAGGTAATCATTATGTGGGCATTTAATAATTTATATATGGACTTCTGCAATTACAATTCACAAAAAGTAAGAAATGGTAGCTATTTTTGGTGTTATCTAAATGTTAATTTACGTGATGGTCCCTTAAGCCTGACCTGAGTCCCTACTAATTGCAAATTCTAATATGGCATTTTACTTTAAAACAGATTAATTCCATTTAGTAAATTGGTAACTTTCTGCCTTACATCACTCTAATACCAGTTGCAGAAGGAAGCTGGCATCTACACCAGGCCTCATAGTTGCTATACCCCCTTCTGTCCAGTCCAAGGTGGTGCCAAGGAATTGAGAAAGGAAGGTAGAGGAATTCGACGCGGTATGGCTGCCCTCTTTCAAAGTAGGTCTGCTCCTCGCTGTTTTACACACACAGGGCTCCATTTTTCTTTGAAGAAATATGACTAAAAGAAAGTTTGAAAACCACTGATCACATATTCAGAGTTCAGGTTTTATCATTTCCATGTCCGAGCCCTGGTAAACTGACGAACATGAAAACAGTCATAAGGAAAACACTAGGTGATTATCCTTTTGTGCATCTGTCTTTACACTCCTCTTCAAGTTTTATGTACATTACGTATAATAGTTCCACTTCATATCATAGTACAGTTTTGTAACTCCATATACTTACTGTTTATGCTGTTAGTTTGGTTTTCCTAATGACTTCCAAGGAGGATTCTGATTCTACTCATGAGAGTTTCAAGATCACAAAAAGTATTTGCTTGCTTTGTGTTAAGGACTGGCACATGAAATCTCTAGCTTTTACTAAAAAGAATATCCTGTATCTAACCCTTCCTGTTTAGTATTACCTTTTTCCCCCCCTTCCAAGTTAGTCAATTTAGTTTGGGACCTTGTCCACTAACTACACTACTTTTCTTGCTGTATAAACCACAAAGGAACAGATAAAGAGAACTTTAAAAATTAGGATTTTTAGATAATGATCTTCCTTCAGTAGTCTTTCTAAAGAACAGAACAGAAAAGTGGATAGGGTAAAGCCGGTAATAAGGGAAGAAAAGGAAAAAGGAATGTTCTAGCTGAATAGCAACTAAGCTACATTCACTGAAATTTCTATTAATTTTTTTTTGCAGAGAGGGAGTAGGAACATTAATGGCTTGACAACCCTGAATTTGTTTTTGTTTAAACGGTAGAAAGCTACAAAGAATTTCTTTAATCATCAACCAAACTTTTTTTTTTTAAAGTCGTGCTTAAAGAGATACCCATAGATTTGCCAGTGTCTAGGCAGTGAGTCGATATAGGGCTTCAGCACCATTTTTTAAGACAAAGCCTACAAATTCCCCTTCAACTAGTAACAACACAAATTTAAGACTGACCTGGTTCCCAGTTGCTGCTTGCTTTGGTTACCTCCTCACTGCCATCGCTCAGGAATCCAAAAAGGAGGGAGAAATCCGTACCAAGAAAAGCTGTACTTGGCAGGGAAAACGATGGCCCCTTTTTACCT